GTCTCAGAGGATTCAAAATAATGTGTGCACCAAAATCATAATAATTCGCAATTGCTTTTAAACAGTCGGTCAAATCAAACGAGCGGTCGCATTTTAACTGAGCGTCAGAATGTCTCGTGAAATGGAATAAAGAAGGCCTTGCTTGAAAGTGCAGATTGAAGATACAGTACTGGGAGATGTTATAATGAATCATCTCTGACTTCTCTGATCTCTCCCATCTTCACGTGAGAGGGAGAAATGTGTTCCTATTTCTCAAGATAACTCAATTGATCAGAGCTCCTATCAAACTTTTCAATCTGTAAATATAATACATTTAGTGGGACATCTCATTTACATTAATTTCCGTCCCTGAAACTTCTCCAGTGGCAAAACCTTCCGATGAAAAGCTTAAGTGTGTGATTTAAGGAGGTGGTGTCTATGACTCACCCCAACATGAGTGAAACTAATCATGACATCACATTAACAGATCAGGTTTCCCTGGTTGACATTCACGTGAATCAGATATTGAGAGGAATTTTTCTCTTCTTATCTCTGTTTTGGCAATTTGGAATCTAAGTAAGCTGTCATACAAAGGTACAGCATATAAATACAAACACTGTATGATACATTTTTGACAGCTTACAGTTTCTTTCTAATGCATGCATGTAACTACTATTTCTGCATGCCATGCTTAGATTATTTCCATTAAAGTAGGATCAAAATAAATGTGCACATTCACTGTCTAGGTGTGTTTAACAGATAAGGTAAACTACCAACAACAAACAAGCAAGCTCACTGCTCAGTTCTCAAATATTCCCTTTGGCAGGGCTCCATTCCACTGCAGTCTGACGCAACGATAGTGAACCAAGTGAACCAAGGATACATATAGTACCTCGATATTTAGTTTATTTTTCATGTCCACACATTGAGATCAACAAATCACTGATAAACCAACATTTATGAACATAATTGTTTTATGGCTTAGAGTCAGATTTCTGTGTATGAAGTGCGAGTGGTTTTCAAACTGTGGTAAATCACACCACTGTAGAAAAAAAAAAACATTTGATATGTGCATTTTATTTGACCATGTTCTACATCTCATTTCAGGACTACAATTGCTTTGCTTGTCTAATCATTAGACCTCGAACCCTTTTACCCATACCTCAGGCCTTTAGTGACCCGGGACGTTATTCACTACCCTCCACCTCATTAATTTTTTGTAAAAGTCAGAAATCAACCTTTTTAGTATTCTTCAATTAATTATGAAATGATAAAAGACTGCCCCATTATTTTTGTGTACCCGAGGTGAATAAGTATATATTTGTATGCACAACAATAATTTAATCGTTGATGACTGAATAAAGTGCAACCTTCACCTTTATGTCACAAGGTGGCAATGTTTGATACACAATGATGAAGTGACGTTTCACTCATAGTTACCGCAGGCAGAAAACAAAAGAATAGGAAGTATCATCAGCAAAACTTTAAATGGCTCAGCGATTTACAGCAGAGCAAGTACTGAACGCAGTCAAATACTGTCACTGTTACTTGATGGTGGATCTGGTGAAGCTGTCAGCGATCCAAATATTAATTTTAAAAACGTTGAAAATGATAGTTTTGAGAATATGTTTGAGATGGCGAATATGAGCTAGATGTTGAATGTACTGGGAAATGAGCTCTGATGAGGGCAGTGATGATGGTATAAAACATTTGTTCAAATCAAACCCTTCCAAGCTCCAAAAGGCAACACAATATGCTTTATTTTATTCTTCTGTAAATGTTATTCGAATATCTGGAGAGTTTTTTTTTTTATTATTGTGACCGGTAGAGATCCAGAGATATAGATCCGGGTTGCTAATGAGCAGTATATGTAATAATGATTGGTGAAATATTCATGCATTTACAGGTTAAGGCATTGCCCACTACCTTACATTGACTGTGCACAGCAAGAATACACGATGTGATAACGCGTGTCACAGAACAGAAGGATGCAGACAGGTAAGAGTTCAAACACAGATAACAGGAATGAAGACTGGTGGTGTGATGGATGAAGAACAGATAAAGTAAGACTTAGGGTTCCACAGCACAGGTAAGTACAGGTAATCGGTCTCAAAGGGATACTTCAGGATTTGGCATTAAGCTTTGTATTAGTAGAAAACCTGTATTATTTCCAAATTACCGTGCTTTCCACCCTCATATCCCCCTGAGACGAGAGATTTATGTGTTTTTTGTCTGGAAAAAATCCTCCGATGACTCAAAAATCGTCATTTTGCGTCATCGGAGGATTTTTTGGCCAGAGGCTAAAGACTACAGCCAGTAGGGGCTGTCCCGCATATTCTCAACCCGCCCATAGAGGGTGGGATCTCACGGATCTCATGGATCTCACTCACACAGAATGTACACACAGTGTCGGCCATCTTTTTTTCAAGCTAAGCTAGTAGGCTCTTGTTCTGTGGAGAAAGCTGAGTATTAGGGGTTACCATCGACTTTTCCCCGGACATGTCCGGCCTCGAGATTGTCCAAAATGTCCGGGATTCAGCTTGCTTTCTGCAGTCGCCATTCATTATATGCACACCGTTTGTTTCAAACTGAATTCATTCCGATTGGTGAATCTGAATATAGTGTTTACATGAACGCTAAACAAGTGATCGGTTGATGTGCGTTTTAACATTGCTAAGAAAATTCCCGCTCCCCGTGAGAGATACGAGACCGGTGCGTCTCACAGGTTTCGCTCATCGGTAATCACGCCACCGGCCTCGCGCTGTTCTCTCCCGGCTCTAGCCTCGTCCTGCTCGCCACAGTAAACATGACTCGCGCCGTTCTCCCGCGGCTCTAGCCTCGTCCTGCTCGCCACAGTAAACATGACTCGCGCCGTTCTCCCGCGGCTCTAGCCTCGTCCTGCTCGCCACAGTAAACATGACTCGCGCCGTTCTCCCGCGGCCCTCAGGCTCGTCCTGCTCGCCACAGTAAACATGACTCGCGCCGTTCTCCGGCGGCCCTCAGGCTCGTCCTGCTCGCCACAGTAAACATGACTCGCGCCGTTCTCCCGCGGCCCTCAGTCTCGTCCTGCTCGCCACAGTAAACATGACTCGCGCCGTTCTCCCGCGGCCCTCAGCCTCGTCCTGCTCGCCACAGTAAACATGACTCGCGCCGTTCTCCCGCGGCCCTCAGCCTCGTCCTGCTCGCCACAGTAAACATGACTCGTGCCGTTCTCCCGCGGCCCTCAGTCTCGTCCTGCTCGCCACAGTAAACATGACTCGTGCCGTTCTCCCGCGGCCCTCAGTCTCGTCCTGCTCGCCACAGTAAACATGACTCGTGCCGTTCTCCCGCGGCCCTCAGTCTCGTCCTGCTCGCCACAGTAAACATGACTCGCGCCGTTCTCCCGCGGCCCTCAGTCTCGTCCTGCTCGCCACAGTAAACATGCGCCGTTCTCCCGCGGCCCTCAGCCTCGTCCTGCTCGCCACAGTAAAAATGACTCGCGCCGTTCTCCCGCGGCCATCAGGCTCGTCCTGCTCGCCACAGTAAACATGACTCGCGCCGTTCTCCCGCGGCCATCAGGCTCGTCCTGCTCGCCACAGTAAACATGACTCGCGCCGTTCTCCCGCGGCCCTCAGGCTCGTCCTGCTCGCCACAGTAAACATGACTCGCGCCGTTCTCCGGCGGCCCTCAGGCTCGTCCTGCTCGCCACAGTAAACATGACTCGCGCCGTTCTCCCGCGGCCCTCAGTCTCGTCCTGCTCGCCACAGTAAACATGACTCGTGTCGTTCTCCCGCCGCCCTCACTCATCCTGCTCGCCACAGTAAACATGACTCGCGCCGTTCTCCCGCGGCCCTCAGTCTCGTCCTGCTCGCCACAGTAAACATGACTTGCGCCGTTCTCCCGCGGCCCTCAGTCTCGTCCTGCTCGCCACAGTAAACATGACTCGCGCCGTTCTCCCGCGGCCCTCAGTCTCATCCTGCTCGCCACAGTAAACATGACTCACGCCGTTCTCCCGCGGCCCTCAGTCTCGTCCTGCTCGCCACAGTAAACATGACTCGCGCCGTTCTCCCGCGGCCCTCAGTCTCGTCCTGCTCGCCACAGTAAACATGACTCGCGCCGTTCTCCCGCGGCCCTCAGTCTCGTCCTGCTCGCCACAGTAAACATGACTCGCGCCGTTCTCCCGCGGCCCTCAGTCTCGTCCTGCTCGCCACAGTAAACATGACTCGCGCCGTTCTCCCGCGGCCCTCAGTCTCGTCCTGCTCGACACAGTAAACATGACTCGCGCCGTTCTCCCGCGGCCCTCAGTCTCGTCCTGCTCGACACAGTAAACATGACTCGCGCTGTTCTCCCGCGGCCCTCAGTCTCGTCCTGCTCGCCACAGTAAACATGCGCCGTTCTCCCGCGGCCCTCAGTCTCGTCCTGCTCGCCACAGTAAACATGACTCGCGCCGTTCTCCCGCGGCCCTCAGTCTCGTCCTGCTCGACACAGTAAACATGACTCGCGCCGTTCTCCCGCGGCCCTCAGTCTCGTCCTGCTCGACACAGTAAACATGACTCGCGCCGTTCTCCCGCGGCCCTCAGTCTCGTCCTGCTCGCCACAGTAAACATGCGCCGTTCTCCCGCGGCCCTCAGTCTCGTCCTGCTCGCCACAGTAAACATGACTCGCGCCGTTCTCCCGCGGCCCTCAGTCTCGTCCTGCTCGCCACAGTAAACATGACTCGCGCCGTTCTCCCACGGCCCTCAGTCTCGTCCTGCTCGCCACAGTAAACTTGACTCGCGGATTAATTGAATATTAATCCAATGACAGTAATAGCCATATTTTGGCTACTAAAACAAATGCACTAAAAAATAACGGAAACTTTCATAATTAGTTTTGTACCAATTTCTATACTTGAACAAGATAAGAACTTGATCTTTTATTTTGACGGAAACTGCATCAAGCTTTTATATCCAGGAGAGGTGATGATCACTGCCAAAACCTGCCTCTGTAGTGATCATTTTACACGGGATAGTTTTATAAACTTTTATAAATCGAAGACAACTGGGATTCACTGATAAACCACTGTTACTTGTGAATGGCTTATAAATTAAAACTATAAATGTATTAATGGGGCCGAACCGACTATAAGTGCGTGCCCACCAATGAGTGTAAGTTGCCTTGTGTGCTTATGTTATAATTATAGTAGGTAGACCGGGCTCGAACATGTATGGCTGTGTAAAACCAATTAAGCTGCTAGCATCCAGCTTTTTTCAAATATTGCCAGTGGGTGGAGTCAGGCTCTGACCAGGGGTTTACTTACACTTTAATATGCCATAAATGGTAACGATTGTTCTTTGCAGGACACCGTTTGTTACTTCCTGATATTATGTGTATAAATATTACCCCTCCACACTTGATAGATATCAGAATATAACTGTATTGCACAGGCTCTGGCTCTTCACAAAAATCTGCTAAAGGCAACTGTTTGAAAACCAAGGTGAGTTTTTGGAACAGAAACCTTCTGAATAAATGTTCTACCTGAAGTATTTTTGAGCTTTGTCTTTAAATGCATTGAGAATTGCAATGTTCAGCATATGAGTGCATGCAGATATTTAACTTCTCCTGCTTATTCATTTCAGGTTCACCATGGCAATGCTGAAAAGTTGTCTGCTTCTTTTCATTATCTTCTCCATGGGGAAAGCAGAAGGTAACCAAGACATTTAAATTGTAAAAATCTAAACATTTTGGAAATATGAAATATTCTATTGATCAATAACTCCATGATTATTAAGGAGTTTACAGTGTATAAAGTACACATATTTTCAGCACATTATCACACAAACATAAAATAAGCTACATACATTTAAAAAAAATTATTTGCAGTGACTTTTACAAGAGATGTTAATGGACTGGATGGACTGGATGGACTGGATGTTGATTTAGCCAGAAGATGCCCCGCTACATGGATAAAATTTAGACTCCGATGCTACAAGTTCTTTTCTCATCCAGCTAGATGGATCACAGCACAGGTAATGTGTTACAACAAGATTTGGTCAAACTTAATATTAGGTGTCTTTAACTACATCTTAAAAGACAGATGTAAAGATATGCATGTACACAATAAGTGCATTGTATCAAATTATTAATTTAAACTGATACAAATTATTCTCTTGTGAAGTAAATACTACTGAAAAAACAAACAGATGTAATTACGGGGAGACCGGGGACAGTTCCAACGCTTTTTGAATTTGGCTCTGTTACTCAGAGACGGTTTGGATTAGACTAACCAATTGTTTACAGAATAAACTTATATCTGTATGTTAATAGTCTAAACCATTGAAAGATTATTACAGAATCTACATTTTTCACAATTTGCATTTGAATGTAAGGAGTCAGATGTTGCAACTGACCCCGGGCCCAGGGACAGTTGCAACATTGTTTGGGGATGGTTGCAACATGTTACAAATACAATATATTACAATATATGTCAGTGTTAGCAAAATTATTATTATCAAAAATGTAAGTTATATTACAGTGTTATTTATTCATCAGCTTTGATTAGATGACAATTATAGATTTGTCTAGATGAGTAGGCCTTATATGCAGATGTCAAATATTCAAACTGATATAAAATACAGTAGGCTTTTAGTGACAGGAAGAATGGAACAATTTGTAAGGCAATTTACTGTTGCAACTGTCCCCGTTCCTGTCAGCCATGATAAAACCACATGTGCTTGTTAAATAATTGACCTTGATGCATGCTAATCATACTAGCTTTATGTAAGCTAGTATGATTAGCATGCATCAAGGTCAATTATTTAACAAGCACATGTGGTTTTATCATGGCTGACAGGAACGGGGACAGTTGCAACAGTAAATTGCCTTACAAATTGTTCAGGCAAAAATAAAATAAAAAACAAATTAAAGTCTATCTAAGAACTTAATTCAAGCATGTGCAAATTAAACCGATGATATCAATGATATACAATTAAGTAAAACCTACTCAACTTTTATAACACTGGCGTTAACATCATGCACTGGGGCATGAATAATTAATAAGGTTTATTTTTCACTGTTTACCAGCTGCATTTTCTCCATTTTATCATTGCTTTTGTTGTTAGGTTTAAAACTTGCCGTTTTGTGACATCTGGATACATTTTCCACGCAAAATAACACAGTCATACTCAAAAACGATCTATCGAATGTTACCGTCATTGTGTACCAAGTATCGAGGTATCTGTGTTCATAGTTTGTTATTTACTTAGATAAAGTATTGAATTTATACAATATTTATTGTATTATTTATTTAGATATTTCTAAGTAAAGCATACACTTTAAATGTGTGGTTTAATTCAGTGTTATTTTGTTGAGTAAAAAGTTAATTTTGTTAAATTTACTGAAGTTAGTTTAGTAGATTTTTATTTATTCTATATATGAAATTAAATAAATTTAATATTATTAAGTAATATTTACTTAATTACTTCAATTAAATGTCAAATGAATGTGAAGTTCAACAGTAAGTAGATTTTACTTGATAACAGGCAAGTTGTACAGAGCAGTAGCAGTAAAATTTACTTCACTTTACTTGTGCAAATTGTTACGAGGATTTTAACAATAGATCAATTAGAACAGACTTTGTTTGCAAATGTCTAAAATGTTGTCAGGTTTGCTTTATGCTACATAACATTTGATTTTGTATACTGACAATAAAAAAAATTGTCTCTGTTTAGAGAAACTGTCAAAGTCTTGGAGCAAACCTCGCATCGGTCCATAAAAAAAGGGAAAATGATTTCCTGCTGAGACTGTCGCCTTCTTCTACTTGGATTGGTGCTAATGATGCTGTACAAGTAAGTTCAAATGTGTGTTCTACACTCTAAGTAGGCAATCAGGTACTGACTTCAACGAGGGCGTGATAATTTGGCAGGGGGTCGAAATTTGTGTCATGTTCAGTTGCCGAAATATGCTTTGACTGACTACATAACGTCCATAAACAATCAGTGCACAGTTCTGAGAACATATTTTAATATCATACGTTTATGTTCTGTATATTTTTGAATAAAATTGTATGCAAGGCATCAGTTTCCATCAGGTGAAAAGACCGACGTGAGCCATGTGACACTAGTGTAAAAGGTGACTCACATCGCGCCCCTGTATGTTGCTTTGCATAAAATGTAAACAATATACAGCACATTAACAAATTTAAAGATCAAATTAAATGTACACAAACCTGTATTTTACAGAAGACTTAGGCGGCCTACACCATTTTGAGGTGATGCGCTCTCCTGAAGAGACCTGTGGCGAAAGCCTGCGATAAATAACACTCCCTGGTTTGTTACGTCTGACCCAAGCTCTGGGTAGCACAAGAAAACTACCCAAATACTGAAAAAATAACCCAACATTTTTTGTAAAGAGACCTATTTGTTCGTCTAAAAAAATACAAATTCAGCTTTAAACAGTAAAGGCAAACTTTCTAATGAAGATGGTTTTACTTCAAATCTGATTTTAATTTGCTTCTTCCTGAAGTCTGACAACAGTAGTGCACTCTTTTATTCCCTCTCTTCACTCTTTAGGATGGACATTGGATGTGGAGTGACGGAACTGTGTTTTTGTATTCCCACTGGTGCGCTGGAGAACCTAACAATGCTAATGGTGTCGAGAACTGTTTGGAGATGAACTTTTCCTGTAAGAATACAGGCTGATTTTTTAATACTTTCAGTTATAATTTACAATCCTACAATTTTACATCATAAAGTAACATGAAATCACTATATTTAGATTTCACAAAGTGCCTTAAATTAAATATTCCATTTCATTTTGATTCTAACACCACTATAATGATCAGAATAATTTATTTCATTATTTCACCTTACAGCTAAACGTTGCTGGAACGACATTGGCTGTTTTCACTCAAGGCCCTATATTTGTGCTAAGGACCTGCGAGACCGTCATGCTTCTCCAGTTACTGTGATGTAACCAGATTTACTAAATATTTCCGACATTATATTGTCAAAAATGTTATTCTGAAAATCAAATCTGTTCTAAACTTTAATCTCTTGTCAGTATCTTCTCTGAAACACTCCTCAAATTAATAAAAGCATTTAAAAAGCCATTTGTGCATTGTGGATAATAATGTATGTAAAAATATAAGTGTATATGGCATTAAATGATGTCATCATCAGGGGCGGGGTTTAGGCATGCTGTAATGCACACATGCTTCATCATCGGCAAAGATGTTATAAGCAAATATAGAACTCATCCAGGGCCCCTTTTTGTTTTCTGTCTTATAAAATATCGCATTATTTTGGTGTGTAAGGCCACTCAATCGAACCAATGGCGGCAGTCGATCAGCGGTGAAGGTCTCACGCGTGTAATTTTTGATTAAATGCAATACATTCTCATATGTATTTTCTCATTATTTCATCTGACTCCATGTCAAATGTTAATTTCCAGCAAGACCATTTGTTTCAATAGACCAGTGGTCAGGTCTATCTCTTCAAACAGTTTTCCAGTCTTACAGTGTGACACCTCTGCAAACCAATCAGAGATTGAGTGAACTGTTTGAACGAATCAAACTGAATCAAAAACTATTTCAGAACATTTTCTAAACCTGTCTAAATTAGATCAATAGTGATTCGCTCACTATTCTGGCATTGCTAGTTCTGATTCTGAACAGCTGATAGTAATTGAAAGTAATCTACAATATCAGAAAATGATTTATCAGCAATATTTTACTGGGGCACAGTGTGTATTTCAAAAAGGGTACAGCGACGCCCACAGATCTATATGGTGTAAGACTAAAAATACTGGTAGGCATGCATGAGACAAAAGGGCCCTGCTGTCTATTTAACATTCAACCTCCCCATTTAGCCTTTCTCCCTCTCCGAAACAACTAAGAACTCACACAAGAACATGGTTTAATGTGAATTTTTATCATTGACTTATGTTTTTGGTGTCATTTGAAATGTCTCAAAGTGAGTGGTACAGATATCTCATATCCAGATAGATAAAATAAAAGGAAATAAGGTTTATAGAAGTTTAAAGAAAACTGGTTCAGAGATAAGGCCAGCTCTCTTCTTTGCTGGGCATGAATTCATGCAGGTACAAGCTGGGTAAGACTATTTGGTGTAACCACTGTATAACCATGTTCTAGATATTTGAATTGATTGTGGAATTGATCTCTGATATCTGAAATATTAATACATTATTACAATTGTTACATGTGATTATTCTATATGATTTTGACATTGTTCATTTAATGGTTAAAAGGAATAGTCAAACATTCGCTCACTTTTAGTGAGGCACAGATATTATTAAAATCTTTCATTTATGGAGTCAGATGAAATAACAAGAAAATACATATGAATAATGTATTGCAAATTTAACCAACCAATACTTTGCATGAATGAGGACAGAACATGTGATAACCTTCCCCGTGTATTTGCCAAACCGCTATTGGACCAATATATCGGGCCTTACAATGGTATCGCACAATTTTAAAACAATGAAAATCCTTTTAATTCAGCGATCTGCATCAAAGGCAGAACATTGGTTTTGGTTTAGGCCTATTTTTAGATTAAACTAGTTTTAATAACATACTTAATTTTATTTGTAAATTGGTCGCAGTTAATTTTACACTTGCAGAGTTATTTTTCGCCAATTTATTATCTTCGAAATGTGGGTGATTTCAGTGAGCAAACATGCAGTGATCCTGCAGTTAAGCAGTGTGACACTCTCAGGGTCATATTCTTAAAGGTCATATCATTTCTATGCCAGTGTCCGGGTAATTTTAAGAATAAATGCAATGAATGACTTACAATTTATGATTTATGTTTGATAGTTTATTAGTTTATTTATTTTATTTTATAACATTTATTTTGTTTTCATCAGTATGGACGAGAAACTAAACGCTGCAAACAATATTGATTTTTTTTTCCAGTAGCATAACAGTAGCATCCATAAAACATAAAGGTAGAAATTCATAGAATGAATTTAAGTCTCATCTTTATTATACTCTCAATCATAATTAGATATAAAATCTCACCTTAAGTTTCCTTGATAGTGGTGAAGTCCAGATGCAGTGATGAGGACAGCTCAAGATCCACTCCTGCTCCAGTTCTGTAGGATGACGAGTCAGGGAACAAAACACAGGAGTGGGTGAAGAAGTGTTAAAATGAATACAACTGAATAGGTTAAATCTAATCAATAAAATTGAGGCAACAGATTACAATTCATATTATTAATTAAATTTAACAAATTAGAATTGAGTAATAATTAACCAAATGAATTACTTAAAAGTTAACCATTTAAAATGAGTAGAATTTACACATTTTTCTAAACAAAAATATCGGAAATAACAGACTGACGTCAAAGATGAATTAAGGACCCCTTTTTTTATTGCCATCATTAAAGACACCTGATATTAACTAGCAGAATCACTGAAGGAGAAAACCGTAATTGTTAAGTCACCATTATGGAGATCAGTGTGTGTTTTAGTTGGGCTCTTGACCCTTAAATCGTTAACTTTAGATGTTGTTTGGCTGCTATACGTGAGTTATAACAGCCAGATGAACAAATAGAAAAGGTGATCTGATGGTGTTGGTCATGTTTTAACATTATTTCACATTAGACCTGAATCCCTGAACTCATATAGTCATCAGGTGTCTTCAATGATGATTCATCATCTTCATTCAGGTGAAAATCTGCTCACTTACAATTACAGCACGTCTCCTCAACAACACACATTATTTTAGGAATCATTCTTGAACGGAGCAAAGGACTGAGACTGTTTACTCGCAGATTTTCTGACATGAAGTCAGATTTACAGCTCATGCGGAATACGGTATTAACTTTGATGTTGCCAAGATGACGTCATGTATATTTCATATATTTTACACGGCTGGATTATTTGGGATTTTTTATTTTATCCACAAATAAGTTATTTATAATTCAGATGAGAATAAAGTTAGTGTTGATTAAAATGAAGGAAAACAAATATATTGATCTGAAATATAGCACATTCATTTTTAAACCATTTAGGTTCAATTACCAAACATACAATCTTAATTTAATTTAAAGCAACCAATACATTTAAAATATATGATTTATATGAATATTTTGGAGAAAAAAAAAATATATAATTAAAAATAATAACAATAATATATATATATATATATATATATATATATATATATATATATATATATATATATATATATATATATATATATATATATATATATATCTATATATATATATATATATATATATATATTCTGCCCTACAAAGGATAAGAGCAGTATCAGCAAAAACTCCAAACTGAGAAAAACAGCTTTTTGTGTTTTTCTTACATCAAATATAAGCATCCAATTAAATTTAACAACAAAGGGTACAATTAGATAGATCAAAGGGAGGTGAATATTAAACGTTTCGTTTTTTAACAGTCAGGCAAACTTTGGTAGTTTTATAGGCTATACTGCACTTTGCCTTTGCATTACTGTGTATACTTACATGGCCATACAATAACATATAGCAGTAAGTGTAGCAAGTGATCATAATCACTTGCTTATATCATAAATCATAAATCACCAAAACCTTTGCACACAGCTGCAGCAGCTGCTTATAGTCGTCAAAAGTACAGTATATGTTAATTATAACCAAACTATTAAAATGATGTGGCATATTATGTAAACCCCCGTTTTCTTGTTTTTTTTTTATTGACCGTTTTCTCCATCTTCATTCTTTCTGTTAAGCTGTGACTTTCCATACCCTTTGGCATTAATCATATTTTTCAAAAAACAAACAAACAAAAAACACGCGTTATTAGATTAATATATTTTAATTGTATCACAAAAGTGCTGTTTTTTATGGCAATCACGCAATTTTAACACACGCATTGCTTTTATTTCAGTTTGGGATAGGTCTTCACATGTAATTACAAACAGTTTAAGTTTAATCATTCAGGGAATCAATATATCAATAAATGAAATATGAGCTATATACATATAAAGTATACTATAAAACCTGACTCATGCCACACAAAGGCAAACTGCAGTATCATAGTGAAACCAAAGCAGACTGCAAGGCAGACTGCAGTACGGGCAGATACTGCATTCTGCCTTGGTTTCACTCTACTTTTCTATACAATACTGCAACTACAAATGTACATTTATATAAGAAATTTATTTGGTAGCCATATGAAATTTTAACAGATTGTAGAGCAGATCCTGCAGTTTTTATTTGTGCAAAAAAAATTTTTGTGAAAAATTGAAGATACTGCTCTTAGCCTTTGTAGGGCAGTATTATTACGTCCGCTAGGGGTAAGACGCAATAATTAAAGAAGAATGAAAAGATACGACAGGCTTCCAGCAGGCCGTCAGACCAAAAGAACCAAAAGACGAAACCAAAGAATAAATTATAACAAAATTTATTGTAATTAAGAGTTATCACAAAAGTCGATAACAATAAATTAAACCACATTCATTAGTGGGGACCACTGGTCCAAAATAAATAAAGTAGGCTATAATTAATTCACAGAAACCTAAATAAAGAAATAAAAATAAAAGAGTGGTTTTTCGTCAGAGAGACCTAAGGCCCAAAATAACAAACAAAAACCCCGTTCTACCAAAATAAAACAACAACGTAATTAACCTAGCACAAAGGAAAGAAAATAAATTACAATAACGCTTCCCTCACTACACTCTTCAAAAGAAACATAAGAAAAGAATCTTTCCCCAAACAAAAGAGCAGGTCTCTCCTACATAACCACATTCTACATAAAACACACAACCAAAAGAAACATGACAGGATTATGTTTGATCTGACGGCTGGTAGGAAGTCTGCGCCATTGCGACCGACCCGAAGCCACAATAGTCTTCCCTGTCAACCGGAGGAGGAGGAGTTTTTAAACAGGACCGCCAGCTGATCGTCCAATTACCGCTGGCAGGCTGTTGTCAAATCAACGATGATCTGAAACCCAAAGGAAACAAAGCATACACAAGTCTTATATTTAATACATGAGGACAAAACATGAAGACAAATACACATAACGTAACAATATATATATATATATATATATACAAAA